AGCAAAGACAAGCTTTATAGTTTGTCAGCGCACAATTTGTTACTTTCTGGCGGAACCAGAAATCATCATGGCCTAAAAAACTGTTACATTTTAACTTGGCACATTAGAGACGGACAAGTCATATTTAGATGAAGTCGATCTTACCGTGATCAAAATTGTTTTAATATTCAGAGTTATTGCCAATATCTTTAGGAATCATTTATTCTTTAAGGCATCTTCTTCCAGTCACTTTAAGCTCTTATTCTTTGATGACTTTGGTCATTTCCTGTACCGCTACATATTAAACCGAGGCAAAAATCAAACACTGGAGATTTTTTATTAATTTGATTTTATATTTTTACATTTAGGTTTTGAAAACAAAAACAACACAATTGTTTTCTTTTTGCACTTTTCTTTTGAAACTTAAAATCTACAAAGCGACCCATATACGGATTAAACAACTTACTGTCATCTTGATTCCTTATGGGTTGTTTCTTCTGCAGCCTTTCCTCTCCATTGCTGAATTGCCGTATCAGTGTCTTCTGTTAAATTAAACAACAGCACTGATATCAATATGATGCATAAGTCCCATGCGTATGGCAGAATGTATAGTTTGAATAATACATAGATACTGTACATCTCAAATATACACACCTTTTTATTTGATTTGACTTCATCTGAGCTACAAAAAAGTCAGAAGTGACACAATAAATGTGGTTTGTACTTAAAACATCACACTGAAATCTTAAAATTGGAGAAACTGAGACTTACTGTAATTTCACTGCTTTCTCCAGGTCAGGAATCAAGTCCTTTAGACCTCTCAGTGTCCGAGAGTCATTAGACGCACTGCCGTACAACTCCTGCAGAGACAGACAGGAAGAACCATTCAAACCAAGAACACATTTGTAGGTTACCGTGTAGCTAGGCTCGCCCGAGCTTACCTCCAGGAAAGAGATGGCAGCGGGTTCCTCCTGTAGCAGGTATGTGTGTGCGTTTGCCCAGCGCAGGGCCAGAATGAGGGCCCTCCTCTTATTGTTGAGGGTGTAATCCAGCCTCTCCTGTTCAGAGCCCGGAGGGGATGCTGCATGGTAGGTTCACGCTTTGGTCAAGGATAAATAAGAGGTTATAGATTTTTTCATGTCTGCTGGTTTAATAACAAAAGGCGCAGCGATAGCTTAGATGCTAGTTTCAGTCCTGGCGCTCAAATCTCTATAATCACATATGATGTAAACAAATATTCATTCTATATTTTATGCAGTCTGGGATGAGTTCTCCATACTAACTCCTACGTTTATCAGAACCTGAACTGTAATGAAACTCTTCCATTGCAACAATGATTACAATATCAATATAAAACATATACAAATAAAGACATTAAAGGATATTGTGTCATGAGTAGAGGACATAGTTGGCTGTTTGGCATGAAAACACAGTGCATGAGGACAAAATCATCTACTGCTGGGTCTAAAAGATGAGAAAGAAAACGGAAAGCAAGAAGAAAACAATCATAAAGGCAAGAATTGTATAAGGTTGTGACAACGCAACTGATTTTTGATGTTTTACCTACTTCAGAAAACACAGCCTGTAAAGTTATCAATGTAAACTGGTACTTTAAAAACACTGTATTATAAATAAGAGACCTGTGGAAGACTGCAGTTGTGACCTATTAGGTAGTAAATAAATACAATCCAATCATAGCCTTGTCATTAGTCAATACAAAATTTAAAATAAAACTAACAAGCACTTAATATATATTTTTTATATTTTCTAGTCACCTGGTTCGTTGTGATGAATGTCCAGTCTCATGGTCTCCAGGAAGTGATCAAGAATCTTCTCTGGTGTCCCTGATATCACAGTGTATCTGCAAAAGAAAAAAACAAAGTGGCACATTACAAACTGTTAAACAAATTATCTTTTTTAAAACAAGAAATAAAAGCCAATCATTAAAAAGGAAGATTTTTTTAAAAGAAACATATTTAAAAGAAAATATATGAACATGATAGCTTTAAAATGGCACAACTGTATGAGCTTTTTAAAAAAATAAATAGGACACTAAATAAAACGAACTAAAAGCACTGTATATTAAATTAAATTGAATCAAGTAAAAAATAAATTGACTAAAATGCTTTAGCTAAAATATCCAAAAACACAAACTTTTATGATGATGAACACAAACAGATGCTATGTGTAAAAGTGTTTTAACAGTGAATGTGGGAGGCACTGTCTTCTACTTGAACAAGCGGAAGAATCATAAATATTAAACACTATCACATACTTGATACTTCCCAGTGTGGATGCTCGAGGACTCTTCTCTAAAACCAACACAACTTGTTCATGCTCTTTCAGACGCACGGTGTTGGCTTCCACGTCCTAAAAACACAAGCAGATCCAGTTCAGCATTAAAGGGAATGCTGATGATGCAGTATCAGTTTTCTGTCACTAGGGGGAGACAAACATCTCAACCAGTCTGCAACCTCACTTTGCAGGTAGATGCGTCAGGCAGCTTTTAACAATATAACAGTTAAAATCAGTGGAGATCTAAAGCCTGTGTGTGTGTGTGTGTGTGTGTGTGTGTGTGTGTGTGTGTGT